AGTTATGTCTGTCCATGTAGGGGACCTGGATTGCCTACATGTAAAACTTTCTCTGATTGGTGTAGTTATGTCTGTCCATGTAGGGGACCTGGATTGCCTACATGTAAAACTTCCTCTGATTGGTGTAGTTATGTCTGTCCATGCAGGGGACCTGGATTGCCTACATGTAAAACTTTCTCTGATTGGTGTAGTTATGTCTGTCCATGCAGGGGACCTGGATTGCCTACATGTAAAACTTTCTCTGATTGGTGTAGTTATGTCTGTCCATGTAGGGGACCTGGATTGCCTACATGTAAAACTTTCTCTGATTGGTGTAGTTATGTCTGTCCATGTAGGGGATCCGGATTGCCTACCTATAAAACTTTCTCTGATTGGTGTAGTTATGTCTGTCCATGCAGGGGACCTGGATCGCCTCCAGAGATTCTGGCTACAAGGTGTTTGTAAGCCCAGCAAGAACAAACGTAACACCAGCAACCCGCTAGATACCAACCAGTTTATGAGTGCCTTCTTACTGCTTGGGTGTGGAGTCATCTTCACGTTGGTCTTGTTAGGCTTAGAGCACATCTACTTCAAGTATATGCGTCAGCATTTAGCTAAGAAAGACACTGGTGGCTGTTTGGCTCTAGTCAGCTTGGTAAGTAATCCGCTTTTTGTTCGTTTTTATCATCTAATTAGTATGGCAATCATTCAGTTCAACTGTCTATTTTTATCTTTGTTAACAACATCTTAGAGGCAGCCATTTTTAATTATTTAATGAATTGGCGCATCTATAAAAAATGTTTATTTTACACAGAAAACGCAAATTCAACGAGAAGATTCTTTTAAAAGAAGATATTATACGTTAGAAGAATATTCAGCTGTAAACTAATAAATACAAGGGCAAGAAGAGGTCCAGGCGAATCTGACCCTCCCAGGTCTACAAAGTTCAAAGATTTAAATCCCAATGCCGATAAGCGAAAGCAGGTTTAGGTTGACGTCACTGTTACGTATTATGGCGGACAAGAGTGGCAGTTATAAGATATTGCATATTCTCAGCTAGGATCTGTTATTCTCGGGCAACATTGTACGACAAAGAACTTATTTCTCAATATATTACAGCAAGTTTTTAGCTGGGTTTTCGCATTTCCGTAAAAATATTTTACGAAAAGGAATTAGCTTTCTATTAAATTCTCAGCTATATTTTTTAGCACTTGTACATTAAATTACACAATCAAATTAATGCAACGGTCAAAAATCTAAATAATTCCGCAAAACTGCCAATAAGGGGTTTGGTTCGTTATATTAAAGCGAAGTTTAACATGAAAATCAGCAAGTCACGTGACCAGAATAACTGATATAAAGTTGCAACGGAACAAAATATATAAGAACTACATTTTGACATTGTTTGGGGTTTCGTAGGTAGTGCGATGCAACCGGAAATTCGTAGTTTTTTTTTAGAATAAGCAAATCACGTGATCAAAATAGCCGGTATAAAATTGCGACGGAACAGAATGTATAAGAACTACATTTTGACATTGTTTGCGGTTTCGTAGGTAGTGCGATGCAACCGGAAATTCATAGTTTTTTGTAGAATAAGCAAATCACGTGACCAGAATAGCCGGTATAAAATTGCGACGGAACAGAATGTATAAGAACTACATTTTGAAATTGGTAGTGCGATGCAACCGAAAATTGTTCGTTTTGGGAAATGTTATGGAACATTCCTTTCCAATGTAATATAGTCATACACTCAGACGAGGATATCCATTGTACTCAATTCCATCAGAAAGCATAGGAATGTAGACCAACTTGAGCAACCTGGACCGTCCAAAACGAGATCTACAAGTCATCCTAGCCGTGATAAGCAAAGTGCGGCATCTGTAAATTTCAATGGAAAATGTGGTCCACGTTTCACAGGCAACAGTGACCAACGTCAATTAAAAACTATCTCTTTCTGAAAAAAAACAAAGCAAGTCGTATATGTATAAGTTGATTCCGCGAAATACCATGAAAAGGAAGACCAATTTTAGAAAACTATATGAATGGTAACCGGGTAAAATGGCACTACATAGTGATACTTTACATAGCGTCTACGTACATTGGTAACTGTAAAAGACCCCTGCCATTTTCTACCAGTCAATAAGCATATACCGATGAAGTCACTGCCCAATCGGGCTGTTTAAATGAGCGCTAGGAAACCATCGTCTCATAAGTTAAACGAATTATTGAAAGCATGCAGGAAGGATTGGTGTGCTTTAGTACTAACAGCCTTATGGTGGAGTCGTTCACAATGATACTTACAGAAGACGTGGTGACTTGGACTGTAACGACGTGATGAGGCTTCAAATCGTTTTAATATAACGTACTCACACCTGTATAGTCCCCAAATGACTTGTTCCCATTTTTTGGCATGAACAACATATATAATGGAGCATTGTATATTTTTCTCTTTTTCTGCAGAGTATGGGGAAATCGTTAACTTTTAGAGGGGCAGTGTACGAAGCTCAAGACATGCTGAAACGTCATCGATGTAAGGATCCCATCTGTGACACCCAGCTATGGAAAGCTCGACATGAGCTAGATATGGTTCGGATCGAGTTGAAACAACTCCAGAAGGAACTGCATCTCAGGTAAGTCGTTTTAAAGTTCTAATTACATCGATGTAAGGATCCCATCTGTGACACCCAGTTATGGAAAGCTCGACATGAGCTAGATATGGTTCGGATCGAGTTGAAAAAACTCCAGAAGGAACTGCATCTCAGGTAAGTCGTTTTAAAGTTCTAATTAAAACATTTCTATTAAAGACGTGCCTGAGATAAATTGTTTCAAAACTTTGGTGGAAACAGCCGTACAAAAGATGTACTCAGGTGAGTTGTTTAAAACTATAGCTGAAGTAGTTCTGTAAAAGATGCATCTCAGATGAGTTGTTTAAAACTGTAGCTGAAGCAATTCTGTAAAAGATGCATCTCAGGTGAGTTGTTTAAAACTGTAGCTGAAGCAATTCAGCTACAGTTTTAAACAACTCACCTGAGTACATCTTTTACAGAACTGCTTCAGCTACAGTTTTAAACAACTCACCTGAGTACATCTTTTACAGAACTGCTTCAGCTACAGTTTTAAACAACTCACCTGAGTACATCTTTTACAGAATCTATTACAGAACTGTGTACTCAGGTGAGTTGTTTAAAACTGTAGCTGAAACAGTTCTGTAATAGATGTACTCAGGTGAGTTGTTTAAAACTGTAGCTGAAGCAGTTCTGTTATAGATGTACTCAGGTGAGTTGTTTAAAACTGTACCTGAAGCAGTTCTGTAAAAGATGCATCTCAGATGAATCATTTTAAAGCTCCATTTGAAACAGTCGTATAAAAAATGCATCTTAGGTAATAATGGCTGGAGATGGCTTCAATGAGTAATGAAGAAAAACTTTAATATAAGTTAACATAATAGCAAATGTACAACGTTTCGACAAGGTTTTGTCATCATCAGGTACAAGTAATTTACAATGACACGGATATATATATATATATACAGTATTGAACAAAGAAGTCACAT